ATATATATATATATTTATTTATTATACATATGCATGTTTTGAAGCCACTGAACCTGGTAGCCCTGGAACCCCAGGCCCTAGTTCCAAGCTTTCTCTCCAAATCGTTGCAAACACCACTCCCAACCAAAAAGGCAAAATGTAGTGCCGGAAGCACGGATGATGCTTGCACCGCGTGCAATGCCGCAACACTTCTCAACCCTAAGCCTAAGGCTCTTCCAGAACTTGAGGACATCCCGCTTGATCCCTGAAACCTCAACTGTTCAAACCCCTGTCTCTTCATCGTTCTCAAGCGCCGCTAAAGTCTCTTGAAATCCTGAACCTCTTCCCCCCAGACCCCAAAACCCTTCACACCCTGGCGCAACCGACCCTCACACACACTGACCCCCTGAACCTTAAACCCTACACCCACGCACACACACACACACACGCGCGCGCGCGCGCGTGCGTTCACAGAGACCAAACCCTCGAAGTCTGGAATGGAGCCACCTGGCCCCTCTGCCTTTGCAAGGTTTGGGGTTTAGGGTTTAGGAACTACAGTCTTACGGTCTCAGTGTTCCTGATGAATTCCTTATACATGCCCTGGAGCAAATCGACTGTTGCGGGGGTTCAAGTACAGGCTATGCCTTGAGCTCAATTTTCAGGGTGTCAATGGTGAGAGTAGAATAGAAGCCTAAATAGTTACCTACATTATTCCTTAGGTTCCTTACTGTGTGTATACTATAAAGGAGTCAAAATCCTATTCTATTTCTTAAGGCCCTTACATTAGTAGTAGAACACTGTACCCTACATTCCTAAACCCCAACGCTTATTGGGGTGTAGGCTTGGGGACTCAGGGCGACGGCCATAGTAAGAATCAGTGAAACATGGGCGTGCCTGGGACGTGGAAGCTTTGTTTTTCGCTGGAAGCGTAAAGTCACCATAGCTTCAGTGTGCCAGCTATAAGCGATGTTAAAGGGTTCAGGTTATTAGGTTTAGATTACCATGATACCGCAAGCAGGGTGTTTGCTAGATTGTCCATAATGTGGTAATTTCAGGCTTAGGAAGAGACCAGCAGAGGCACCGCCGGGTCAGCTCCTGCACCAGCTCCCGATCGAGTTCAGCTGGCTTCGGTTGTGGGGTCGAGTGTTGAGCTTGAGATACGGAGTCCAGGGATTTTCAGAGTCTTGCGGTCTGGGGTTTTAGGTTTGTGTGCTTGTCTGTTTAGGCCATTCGTCGTTCTACTTCAGCCATAAACCCTTAAGGTCTAGAGCCCCCTTAAACCCCTGTCCCTAGACCCTAATCCTTAATTTCTCAAGGGCTAAATCCTAGGTCCTAAGCCATAACTTAAGGCGTAGGGTTTACGGACAACCATAACCTGAATAGGTTGAATGTCGTTGATTCCGGATTCTGGCTACGTCCAATGCACAGCCGGCTTTCAAGCTAAGAAAGGTGAGGTGGCACCCCCTTTCGAACCAGCAGGTTGGTTTAGGCTTCGGAGCTTCGCGAGATTATGGTTGCGACGTTGTGGTGTGTTAAGGTTTAGGGTTTGATAACGGAGCCTGAATAGCTGGCAATACTAGTCGTTAGGTCTCCTCAGTATGTTTATACTACAACATCTACCAGAGCCCCTGTATAGTAGGGTCTGGCGCTAGGGTTTTGGTTTCTGTGCCGGTCTAGATCGGTCTGATCGCTATGACTCCTCACCGGGGCGTTCGAAAGGCTCGCCATGCATCCTGACACGGTATTGCCCAACGGTTCAGGGGGTTCAGGTTTTACGATTTAAGGTTTGGAATTCAGAGTTTCTGGCGAGGGTTTATAGATTAGGGCAGCTGTTCAGAGAATTGTGAGAAGCCGGCCTCGGTATCATCAGGAGGAGATGGATGTTTCCGGTGATGACGAGGATGATGATGACGATGGTTACATCATCATCCCTGTCATTATCGTTATCCGTTCGCCATCACCGTTATGCCTATATCCCTAGAGTTCACCAGGAGCCTTATCGGCACGTTGAGTCGTTGTCAGACGTTAGAGCCGCTGAGCCGCGAGAAATGGGCCATGCCCGAATCTTGTGAGAACGTATGTAGAAAGCTTTGGAGGCGGTGCAATCTTCACTGGAACCAGAGGACAGCCTGTGGGCGATCATCTGTTAGCGCCATGTCATCCCCTGTTTGTGATCAGTGGAGACTCCGGGGGTGGGCTGCTGGATTTGCTCCATGAGCGCAGCTGGCCGGAGGCACAGGATGCCACCGAAAATCCCAGCTGGCATTTGCACATCCAGGCATGTGCATGTGGCCACTCATCCCCCACATCGCACCGCCCCGAATCCACCCCATTTTACACCACCCCCCCCCCCACCTCGCTTCGCACGACTCCCCCCACTTGAAACCACCCCACCCCACCCCACCAATTTCTGGTTGTGACATTCAGCGGTTTTATGGGGGGTCAGCATTGACCCCTGTTGCATAGACTCCTTTCGTGTTTATGAACTATGCTTTCTCTCTTGTGTGTCTGTGCGGTGTCATCGTTGGTATCAAAGTCCGCGTCTCGTGAACAGCCCTATTGGTTTTGGCCCGTCAGTGTCAAGCCTTGCTATGGCACACCAAACTCGTCTTCGGGTTTCCGACGGTACTAATAGGGGTTCTACATTCTGGTCCATGGAACAGAGCCCAGCCCACGATAATCGAAAGACCCGAACCCTGAACTCGAATGCTCAAGCCCTTAATTAACCCGAAGCCCTATACCTTAACTCCTAACTCCTAAACCCTGAGCCTTAAGCCTTCAACCCTTAATCCAAGACAAAACCTAAACCCTACATAGGGTTGAAGAACCCAAACCCTACTTCCTAAACCTTTGTAAGCTCCTAAACTCGACAGCCCCTGTAGATCCCTTTAAGGATCCCTTAAGCTCTAAACCTTAACCCAAAACCCCAAAACCTCTAAGCCGGGTCAATGTTCAGCTGAAACCCTACTCCCGAATCCCTAACCTCACCTAATCTCTAAACTCCCGAAACCCTAAACCCACACCCTTTTCTCAGTTCTCCAATACGCAGCCCCGAAGCTTTTTCAAGGTTAGTAGTAATCGGAAAGTTTGACCTTGCAATTTTCCTGGCTTTTTGGGGAAGTAAATAAACCCTCAACCCGAACCCTTAACAAAGCCCGAAAGCCAGGTCAATGTTCAGCTGAACCAGCAAATCGTCAACGCGGGCATGCCCGAGAGGATTTTGCAGGCCGAGAGCAGGTTCAGGGGTTCAGGGGGTTCGGGGTTTAGGGTTCAGGGGTTTAGGGTTTAGGGGTTTAGCCCGGTTTAGGAGTTTCGGGTTCAGTGGTTTCGCGTTTAGGGGTTTTGTGGTTTAGGGTTTAGGGCGCTCGAAACGCACATCGCCTAAGCCGACTGTTCAAGCAGCCGAGCCTCATGGCAGATCACTCTGGCAGATCGAACCAACAGTTGTTAGTCCAACTGGTTACGGTTTTAGGGTTTAGGGTTTTTAGGTCCGGGGTCGACTGCCTACTCCGACTCACCTACTCTTGCTTGTCCGACTGTTTGCCGGAGTACTTGGGGGTTGGCATCTGTAGGTCTACTTGGGTTGCCAGTGGTTGCTGCCCGGCGCTTTGAGTTCAGTGATAATGAAATGTAGGGCTCGGAATGTTTGGTAATTTGGTATTAGTATTCCTTACGGATCATGATTATACTTATTGTAACAGAACCCTAAACCCTAAACCTTAAACCCTAAACTGTGGCAATGATATCCTGTCGGGATCCTTATTGTACTTGTTGTAACCAACCACCGCAATCCCTGAGAATCTAATAGGGTGTGAGACTTAGGGTTTAGGGTTAGGATTTCTATATGGGTAGTTACCTAAAGTAGGGTCCTGTTCATAAAGATGCCGCCTGCTTCCGGGTTCCTAAAGGGGGACCCCAGTTTCGAGAACTACCCATATGAACTTACTTACGCTTCCCTTTGCTTCCGTTTCTTACTGCAGGTCTCTACCGGATTTGAGACGGGAGATGCTTGCTCCGTAAGTAACGATCCTTCAACAGATGGAAAGGATCACGGAACTTAGTAACCAAGGAACAAATTAATTACTTACATCAATGCGGTTACAATGGACTTTTCATTACTTTCTACACCCCAATCAAGGTACTTATAGCCTAAGTCCTAAGTATGATCCTCCAAGTCGCGGTTGGGTCCATGAAAGGCGAAAATTCAGCTCCGAACCTGGGATTGGGCCAGCGAAGTCCTGTGCCGCAGATTGTTGACGAGAACTTCGACCAGCTGAATGCTTCCAGCTTGGTTTGGGGGTTTGGGGTTTAAGCTTCTCAGTGGAAGTTGAAGTTGTCGCAATTGCCCTACTTTGTAAATTGTAAATCATCCTAAACCCTAAACCCTAAACCCTAAACCGTGGCCAAAGCATATCTGAGGATATCGAGTCACGAAGCTTCAAGCCAACATTGCTTTGGGGATTCGGTTAGACTGAACATTTCAGTCATTAAACTTACAAGGAGCATAAGCCCCATAAATCTCAACCGATAAAGCCTATAAGCTCTGATAGCTGCACTGAACGCTGCAGCCCGAAGCCCAACAGACTCCAAACCCTGCCTGGCCTTAACCTTGCAAGCCGCAGACCCGCTACTAGCCCGACAACCCATGAATCCTCTGAGCCCCAGGAAAAACATTCGGTTGTGTGCCTTCACATACCCTTACAGTTCCGAACTTTGCTATAATATCTCCCAAAGTGCTGTTTTAATCATCCAGCGCCCCTGCATGAAGCGCCCAACCCTGAAATTTAAGTCTTAGGCGGTCAACCTCATCACTGCACTTCACCGGTTGGCGGCGATCTCACTGGCCTCCAAGAAGGCCTGGGGTGTTTGTTTCCATCTTGGGCAATGTTCCTTTTTGTGGGTTGGGTTTCCCCCCACGGTTTTCATCTTGGACAATCTACGGGTCCTTTTTGCTTTTTGTGGGTTGGGTTTCCCCCCACGGTTTTCTGTGATTAATTGCGGGAGTCCATTTATGCCATAATTTTCTTGCCTCTTGACAGAGACCCAGTCACACGGACACTAAAATGGAAACTAAAGGCCAAGTATAACAAGACTTTCCATCACCCTCTAACCACCTTCTACTATACCCCCAAACACCGAGTCTGATGAACCACTAGGGCTCTGTTACGGATGCCTTCAGCGGTCCAGGTTAATGTAGATCATTCCTTAACCCTGCAACTGCAAAACCGGAATCCATCAAGGTCCCCGATTCCTTGTTCGCCCCGGCAGCACACCCTAAACCATGAAGGGCCTACCGTACCCTACCAAAACTTACTGCTGTTTTGTAGGGACCCCATAGCTTCCATGTTGGAGTGTATACAAAGAACATTTAAGAGCATGCATCAGAGTATTGAAGGTCGACTTACGACACTCCACCTAAACACTCTAAACCTCAGACCCCTTAAAGCCAAGAGCCAAACCGCACCATAAACCAAAACCTTGGACTAAACATCGTTTGCTCTTCCATGGCTTTGAGGCGGGGTTGCGCCGCGATCCTCGCTTCAAGCGTTTGGTGAACAGGCAGCGACGGTTCTTTCCGTGGTCGGGTTCAGATCTTTGTATTAGATAAGGGTGTCAGGATCAGGGTGTCATGGGGCTATGATGTTAATTACACAACTTATGTCTTGAGGGCCTTTGTCGTGCTGTAGGTATATTACCTCAATCCCCCAAAGCCTTAAAGCGTGAATCCTAAACCTCAACCCTCAACCAAAATCCTAAACCCTAAACCCCTAAACCCCTAAACCCCTAAACCCCTAAACCCCTAAACCCCTAAAACCTAAACCCCAGCCCCCTTAACCCTAAACACTAAACCCCTAACCTTAAACCCCCATTTAAACTCTAAATTTCATTGAGATTGGGCTGCGGTTTGACCTCGCAGTTCAGGATTACGGGCCTGGGGAGAGAAGGGGTGAAGATATTTATAGGGCTTATAGGGTTTAGGGATCTCGATGGGTTTAGGGTTTAGGGTTCTTCATAGGGTTCAGGGTTTAGGGATCTTTATTGGGTTTCGGGTTTAGGGTTTAGGGATCTGTACGGGGTTTAGAGTTTAGGGCTTAGGGATCTTTACAGGGTTTACCTGGACTTCCAGAAACCTGACATGTTTCGGGGGTTCCCTATCATCTGTTCCTTATACGAGTCTTGTATAAGTCCTGAAAAGGTCTGCTGGGGTGCAGGGATAGTCTGGGTTTACCCATAGTCTGCATTGTAGTTCCTTTCTTCATATCCTAAATATACACTTGGCGAAGCCAAAGAAAGGAACTACAATGGAGACTTTAGGTAGGTGTTTTTAGGATCAGCTTTCGGAGCGTTGGGTTACTGGCAGTTTTGGGATGAGGGCTTCGGGTAGACGGTTTGGAGGATGTTTGGGACGGCCACCATGAAGCTGCCCAAAGACCCGCAACCCTAAACCTGTGGGTTTAGGGTTTAGGGCAAACAGTCTGAGCATGGACTCTAGCTATGAGCTCTCCCGGCTCAGAACAGAACCAGCCTGACTTGAACTCTTTGGGCTCTGCACCACGTAAACCAACCCTAAACCCTGAAACCCCTATAAGAACATAGCCCCGAAGCCCGCCTAAGCTTGTCCTAAACCCTAAACCCAAGAGGTTGTCGGAGACGATTCGAAAGACGGATCCGCAATTCCTGAAGCCGCAGGACGCAGGATTTTGGTGTTTAGGGCTTATGCTGACCAGAAATGTCTTAAACAACATCGTGAATATCTGACATTTGGCCTTGTTGTTGTGGTTCTCATTGTTCTTAAGCCCCAATGCTAAACCCTTCTAAAGCCCAGGTCAGATGTCAAGGCGGTGGGGCAGGCTTTAAGAAGCCTCACGACAGTTAGGATTAAAACCCTGAGGGCTCTAAACCCGTAGCTCTTTAAGATGCCTAACTCTTGGCAAAAGCCCTCAACCCTCAGAAAGCCCCAACTCTCTCCTATAGGGACTCTTTAACCATAAACTCTTTAGACGTGCTTATGCCCTAAATCCAAAACAGCCTAAACCCTAAGAGTTGTGTTTTTTGCCAGGACCTCTCCAATGTTGCCTGGGGCCTCACCAAGCTCGGAATTCAAAACACAATGCTTTTCTCGCTGCCACTTGGCCATGGGGTTTCGGGGGTTCGGGACTTAGGGATTGGGGTTTTCGATTTTACGGGATGGCATGGGCCACAGTGTTGGTCGCCTGGTTTAGCGATGGTTTTGCGGTTGGGGGTTTATGGCATAACGACTGGGAGACTCGGCACTCCATGTGAATCCGGGTACTTGGGGAAGCAGGGGAACGCTCTGGGGTTTGGAGTTCTGGCTCAGGGCTTATAAGCTGGGGCTTATAATGGGTTCGGGCATATAATATAAGTCAGCGCTTATAATGTAAGTTGGGGCTGATATTGTAGGCTCGGGTATATAACATAAGTTAGGGCTTGTAATGTAAGTTGGGGCTTATAATATCGGTTCGGGCATAAAAGTTGGGGCTTAGGGGCTAGATGGCTCTGAGCGTTCAGGCGCTGTAGGGTTTTTGGGGGCTTGAAGGACAAACCTATTACGCACAGAAGCCCGAAACCCTGCAACTCTTAATGCGCTTCAACCCTAACCTCCGAAGCCGTGAGCTCGTTATGCTTACGAGGTTCAGTCGTTGATGCTTTACACCCGAGAATCTACATGTGTGTATGTGTGTGTGTGTGTCTGTATATATATATATATCTATACATATATTTATATATATTATATATACAGAAAGCCTAACGGCAGCTCTACACTCGATTGCGGTGTTTTTCTCGACCGCATGGAGTTCAGAAAATCTGCTGAACTCGCCTAGAACAAGGCGAACATCCGCGTCCAGGAAATGGACAAAGGCAGACGCTTTATTGCGGACCTGTGGAAGCGGTTCGTTGTCGATGAGGAGATCGACTGCGGTGTAAATTACGGCTTTACAAGCAAGCGGAAGCTCGGCAGATCCATGCAGGTGCAGGAGCTCAACTATGAAAACATACCAATCATCGAAGAGAGCTCCGATCGCAAGAACTCCTGCGAGCATACACGCAGACGTATCGTATGCCTGCGGATGGGGAGGGCGACATGGACCGGGGACAAAGATGCCGTGGATCACGACAACGGCGTCTACCAGCTTATTCCACAGGAAGAGCTCCAGCAATTCCTTTCCTTATTGGCTGTAAACTCAACTT